TCGAAACTAAAAACGGTAAAAGGCTTATATGTGCTCATATGCATTCATTGTAGACATTGAAGATTCAAATATAAAATATCCATTCAGGTCAACTTTAATAATTTCTTTGCCATTAATGGTAAAAGCGTAGATTTTATTTTAGGCCCTGTTTCCATTTGTTGCAAGTGTTTAAAATTTTTCAGTGGCTACAAGCATTGATAACGAAACCAGTAGCCCAACTGCTTTGAATGAGCTCTTTTTTTTTTCCGGTTTTTCATCATTAATGCAGTTCATTAGCAATTGACATTAGCAGATAAAAACATGCTTATACTAGTTTTTAACTACCTTGGGTTATATGCAGAGTGCTCTAAAAACAGCTGCTTCGTCTATATTTAAAGCTTTCTATAATATATTTAAGATATTTATTTCTATAATATATTTAGGGTTTCATATGACTATATTAACAAACAGATAGTTTATATTTTAAATGTCTTGTTAGTGTTTATTGGAGAAGTCCTATTATTGTACTTCAATAAAATTTATAAAATATCCATATTTCAAAGTAATAATGTAATTGCGGCTTTTGTAATGGTTATATTTTAAAGTGAATTAAACAGCTCCAGACTTATTACTGTATCTGTACAGGTTTCTAGCAGACAAGGTATGAAAATTGCAGCCACCTGCAATACCTCTTATATGTTATATAAATACTTCTTAGGTAAATTTTAGAGTTAAAATCTAATTACTTTAACAGGACAGACAGCAGATAGCTTAATCAAACACATTTAATAAATTACTTAAAAAGTTTCATATAGAAAATAAAATTATTTTTCTTTGTAAAAGTAATATAAATGCAAACTTCTGGGACTGGATATAAGAAAACGGGACAAAATTAATCTTTAACAAAGTTACAAGAAATCAAAAAGATGAAAGCATTTAAAACTGAGTTAATATTGGGCTCAGATGTACATGAAGTAGCTCTTCTTCTTCTTGTAATTTATATAGAAAGGATTACAGTCTACAGGAATTTTCATATTTTTGCTGTAAGAAAATCAAAAGAATTTTGTGAATTTGCAAACATGAACGCAATAATAGTTATAAGCTATCACAAATAATCTTACAATCCACCACGAAGGATTGTAAGATTTTTAGATCCATTATTCGAAGTAATTTGATGCTGGAGATGTACGATACAGCAATCTAGCAAGCTTTAGTTCAAATTTAACTAAATGTGTGACTAATTTCGGCTATCAAAATGCATAAGGCCGGATAAGTCGCACAGCGCTGCAAGAGAATAGTACTACGATCAGCATCGCTCCTAAAAGCTCTCTGTCTAAACTTTCAAGAACTCTGTCTTAAATACGCGTATCTCATTTACACCCTGAAAGCTGGCGAAAAGGAGAAATGATAATACAGCTCAAAATCATAAGGTGATGAAGTTAATTAACATAAAATATCTTCATTTGCAGAAGTAGCTTTGAAGTACAAAATAATAACGAATTTAATTCTAGAAAAAATATAGCATGTTATGCTTATCTCTACGATAAAAAATGTATGACCCAATTGTTCTGAAGTTCATACCTCTGAGAAATATGAATAGTACATTCTAAGAGAATAAATATTAATTTGCCGTTGACAATTACGTTCTCTCCTTTAATTTCCCTTAATGATTTTATCGTTCGTGTATTGCTTTCAAGACGTATGGTAGCCCTAACAATAACTCTTTCATGGATTCTCAAAGAATGCTATCTTAAAGAAAAGCACAAGAGCTTTATTAAGGCTCTCAATTCCTCTTTCATGACCTCACTTTCGTGAAGTGTCATTTAATTTCGACCTCTCTGATCTCAGACCGCAAACTCCACAACTGTCATTTCCTGTCTTTTCTTCTTCAGCGAAAGTAGCACCACCCGTTTCAAAGGGTTCAAAAATCTTTCTCTACGAGGTGAATGAAATACTAAGAAATCTGTATTTTTATATCATTAAATTTTTAATAAAATGAACAGCTAATAGAGTAGTTATAACGGCTGCGTCGCATTTTTACAGTTATTTTAGCAAGAGCTTCCAGTTAATTAAAATTATCGGTAATAAGTTTGCTATCGAACAGCCAAATCAGCATTCAATAATTCTCTCCCATAATATTAATTTGTAAAACAGTTCTTGCCTTTATGCCAATACTCTAAGACAACCAATACCACGAAAGACACCAGAGGCTACGGAACGAAAAGCACAGAGATGATGAAATGCACTTCTTTAGCAAATACACTACTAAGCAAAGCCCGAAGAAACATGGAAAAATATCACGGAACCTCCTTCCCCTCAAAAACGTAAATGTGCAAATTGTTAAATTTAATAATTTTGCGGGATATCAGCGATTAGGCTGTGATGTAACGAAAGGTATGTGGAATTGTAATAACAAAAAGCACAGAACTAATTACAAATGGACTAGAAATCTGGCATGATCAACTAAATTAGGTTATTAAAATTCTGCATCCTAATATCTTGAAACTTATTGCTTAAATAAAGGTACATAGTATCACGATATATGAGAAATGAATTAAAATGCAACATTCCGAAAAAAAAAACATTAAATGCATAAAAATTGTATAAAACCATACAAACTACAGGACAGGAAAGTACAGTATAGAACAGCATTTAGGTTTTTCCGGTTTGTTTGCCTATATGTGGGACTCTTTATTTAAATTTCAGATTTTACATCAATTTGTATTAATAAATTTTTACACCAATTTTTGTATTAAAGATTATAAAATGGTATAGAATGTGAACATAACTAATGTATCAAATAAAGAACATGCAAACTACACTGAAAAACTTTGCTACAGTAAATCTAACCACTAAAATGTGATGCATTTGCTAAAAATAAAATGTTCTGGAGTTTATTTAAAGCCATGCAAACTATATAACGAAAACCTTTGGTGCAGAAAACCTAACCATTAAAAAGCTCCCTAAAGCTGCATTACGTGGCGCATTTATAAAAAAATGACATTTTTTGTTTTTTAGCCATTACATGATTTCATAAATGTTAAACATTAAGTAAATGTTTATGAAATATTATATGACTTGCATACCATTATTACGTATATTGATATTGTCACGGATTTTGTATTTAGTTAGCTATTTTTAGAAGAATTGTAATTAAAATTGTTTTATTTCCCCGTGCAATGCAGTGCTCGACGAGTTTGAAGAGGCGAAAAAGTAAAAATACAGGAGCACGCGCATTTAATAAATAGATATCTCGTAATTTATATTTAAATTGAATAAATGTAATTAACTACTGTGTTAGCTGTGACCGTAATTCTGCTCTTGCTTTCTAGAAATCTCGAGAAAACGGAAATTACGAAAAATTAAAATAACTTTAAAAAACTGGAAAGAAACATCTCAGTTCAGTTGTTTACTAAGTTGTTATTGATTGTAGCGATTTCGCGGTGGGATCGGATGAGCTTTCTCTGCGCTTTGGATTACGTTCCCTTTAACGTTTTGGTAGTTTAAAATATAACTACTGTGGGATATTGTACGAATATCTTTGAGAAAAAAACCTAGCGTTTTGTCACATATCTTCTGGTAAGAATAAATTATATATTTTTTAATCGGTGGTGTTGGTGTATTTAATTATGGCAAAGCACACTAGGACTATCTGCCTAAGGGGAGGGATGCCTTCGTGGAGGTCTTTCTAAGGGAAACTGGCTCGTATACACGTTACACATGGGGAAAACCACGAAAACACCCATGCAGTTTTTAATCGGACTTGTGCATTCAATCTATTATATGATAAGAAGATTGTGTAAAAAAAAATAAGCGAATACAAACTCAGTATACCACATTTTCTGCCCTCCCCGGGATTCGAACTCCAAACTTCTGACACGCCTTCCGAACGTGCTACCACGACAGCGGGTAGTCGTGAAAGAAAAATTTCTTTTAAAATTAGACAAAGGAAACGTTGAACAACCTAAATTTTAGGAATTTTTTCTCTAAATTTTAGGAAACTTTTAACAGATTACCTATCAACGGTGTTCCCTGAAGACACAAAATGAGGTTAAAATTCTGGAAAATGAAAGGAAATTAATGTATAGTGTGTTAAAATTTAGAAAGCTACATATAATATATTCATAACGAAAATATCGTAACATATATATTACATATTATCATATACCTAACAAACAACAAATAATGTATATGTTACCGTGAAACACCGAAATTGGAGAATGTCGACTTTCACCGGAGAATATCAACATTCACCAAATACGTCAGTAGTAACCGCAGGGTACTCGTGCTACGGAAGTGACGTCACAGAAAAGGGGCGTGGCTTGGATTACGTGACCGGAAGTGCCGCCATGTTGACGAGTGGAGTTGAGTGGTTTCGAAGTGGAAGTGTTTGTTTGAAAGTGGAAGTAGGAGTGAATGGAAATTTCAGAATTTAAGTTTTTTGGAAGTTTCGTTTTAATGGTGTGGCAACGATTATTTTTTTATTTTTTGTGGCAACGAGCTCTTACACCACGTGTTTGGAATGACAATTTATTTAATTCGTTCTTATTTTTTAATGATTTAATATTTTTAATTATCAATTTCTTTTAATTAATTTTTAATTTAACATAGTACTTTTTAATATATTCATTTTATGTCATTGTTTTAAAAAGAACCGCACGGCTCAGGTTCGAACCTGCCACCTCTGGGACGGGAGTCCTGCGCAATACCACAGAGCCACCGTTTCTTCACTTATATTTCATCTTATCTCGTTGTCTAGGTGACCTTGTCCATGTGAAAACAACCCTGACATCACTAGGCTGGGGGGAAAACGTCATCTGTTCGAGTTGGAGCATGTCTACCGCTTTGCACTTTTCTACATCCGCGATGGCGAACGAATACAATCTGAACGACCAATCAGATTCTCACTAATATTGTCTATCCAATTTCAACCAATCAGTGTGCTTGTTTCTTACCTAACCTACGTATAAATTCGCTTGCTTTCACATTTTTCGCTTGTACCTGCTTTTGAATTACTATTTTTTGAAAACGAATTTTATTTTTTTTTGAATGTGTTATTTATTTTATTTTTTAATTGCTAGGTGCTGTTTGAAGATCCCGACTTTCCTTTCCGTGACTCGGACGATGATGTAAGCTTATAATATTTTACCTAAAATTTTAAGCTGTTATTCTGAATTTATTTTTCTATTTAATATTTTATTTGCTATTTTTATTTTATTATTACGTCTTTCATTTTGAATGTATTTTCTTTTCTAGTTAATAGATGAAGTTGATCAAATCTTTATGGAAAATCCTATGGTTCTGCCCCTGTATTACCATGTGGGTTCCGGATTTGAGGTAAATTTTCGTTATGAGCCTGTTAGAATATTTTTTCTTAGTACTAAAATTTTGAAGTAAATTTTCGTTTAATTGCTTTTAATTTCTGTTAGTATATTTTTTCTCAGTACTAAAAACGAATGTATTTGTTTGTAGACTTCTTCATCATCAGCTCGGGGTCCTATGTATATGGCCGGTTCCGACGAACATTCGGTGTGTATTTTTCTTTTTTGCATGATTTATTAAAATAATGTCTTTTTTTAAAATGACTGATTGTGACTGAAAACTTAATTTTTCCTTTTACTTTTCAGATCGATGAGGCGATTGTGCTGACAGAAAAATCTCGTCGTAGGAACCATAAGTACAAGGCCGAGGAGATTACCTTCCGAGCCAGTATAGATATGGAACGGCTGCCTCAGATACAACAAGGCATCCCGATGGTCCGAATTCCCGACACCGTCCGGGAACTATTCGAGCAGCTTATTCGCCGGACAACTGCAGATTTGGAGCCTTCCGACCTCATCCGGTTCTGTATCCAGGCAGAAGGGTTGGACAAACCCATCAGTACTTCCATGATGGCAGTTTCGACACTCACAGTCGAAAAAATTTTGGCTGCAGTCATGAAAGTACTGCAGTCCAAAGACAAAATAGAGCTGGACGCAGGATTCTCGGTGGACGTGATCACCTTCAGACGTCCTGTTGGTGCTGGACGAAATCGAAGAGTCAAACATCTCCATGGACAGACTGAATAAAAAATCTATTTTGTCCATTCCATACGACAAGGAAGGACTGTGCTGTGCTAAGGCGATTGTGTATGCCTTAGCACATTTGAAAAAAGATACGAGTGCCATCAATGCCATGAGAAATCGCAGTCGGCCAGCTCTTGTGAACAGGGCCAAGGAACTCCATGTGGCCGCAAATGTGCCTCTAGGTCCCTGCACATTTACCGAAATTGCCAGATTTGAAGAGCACCTGGATACTCAAATTGCAGTCTTCTCATCGGAAAATTTGAATCAGGTAAGTCAGTTTCTCAAGATATTTCTGCTTATAAATATTAGCCTTAAATTACCTAAACTTTTTCTACATATTTATTTTAAAATCGTAATTTGATTTCACTTCTTTTTTATGTGACAAACTGTAAAATTTATTTTGGTAATGAATAGTTTTAAAATTTGAGATGCGCACATTATAGTTTATACATGTAGGCAATTTGTTTCCATGTTAAAAATATAATTTGACAAAATGCACAGTGAACTTTAAATTTTAAGATTAACTTTTATGCATACATATCATTCGTATACATGTTAAAAAATATAGCAGTTAAAAACTGATTTCTAAAATGTCCGATTTTTGAATGATTTTTAGAGAAAAATTTCTGCATGATGCATTTTTCATTTCCATGTTAAAAAATATAATTTGTCAAAATTGAACGCATGGTGAATTTTTGACTTGCTCTAAATTTTAAGATTATATTTTATGCATATTCACGCATAGAATCCATGAATGTATGCAGTTCGCTTCGATGTTAAAAAATATACCTTGTAAAAATTAAATGCATAGTGAGATTTTAGTTTACTTAAAATTGTTAGATTAATTTCTTATTTTATGTATGCAATTCGTTAAAACTTTCACTTTTAAAAATTTTTATTTTTAGAATACTTTAACTTTTTAGATTTTATTTACATGTATGCACAAAGGCAATTTGTTTCTATGTTAAAAATATAATTTGCAAAAAGTTAACATTTAGGCATATATTTCTGATCATTTAAATGTTAAAACTTTAACTTGTAAAACTGAATGCATGGCGAATTTTTTAGATTGCGTTAAATTTTATGTATAAATGCATGCATGTATGCGTTTCGCTTCGATGTTAAAAATATGATTTGTAAAAAAAAAAAATGCATGAAGAATTTTTTATTTTTAGATTCATTTTATGCATGCACACAATTCATTAAGATGTTAAAACTTTAAACTATAAAAAATGAATTCACGATGAAAATTTTTTTTTGTTTTACTTTAACATATATGCATGTAATTACTTTCGATGTTAAATGCATTAGGAATTTTTAGATCGCTTTATGTATGCAATTAAATGTTAAAAACTGGTTTTACTTTGATTTTTTGGAATTCAAGAGAATTTTTTTTTTGTCTTGCTGTATCTTAGGTGGTGTACAAAGGAAGAGAGAGGGCACAACGGATCAATTTGTGGCTTCACGATGGACATTATGATGTCATTAAGTCCCTGAAAGGGTTTTTTGGTAGCAACCATTATTGCACAGCATGTGAAAAGGCCTACCAAATGCCTGAAAGCCATAGATGTGCCAATGCGTGCCCTATATGCCTAAGGACTGATTGCTTTCCAGGCCAGCCCCAACGATGCCCGGACTGTGACCGTCTCTGCCGATCCGATGCCTGTTATGCAGCACACAAAGCCCTCACTGGAAACCAAGAGTTTTCACTTTGCGATAGGGTAAGTGTTTTGAAAATATATCTTAATGAACAAAGTTATTTATCATATAATTTTCTCAAAATTGTTATGTTTAAAAAAATTAATTGTCGTTACAGGTATACCAGTGCAGGGACTGCTGCCAAGTGATTGAACGCCGTAAGTGCCCTAAAGATCTGCATAAGTGCGGTACCACCAAATGTCCGTCTTGCGGCCAGTTTGTCGTGGCTGCTGAGCACCGTTGCTATTTGCGACGTGTTGCTCCGAAGAAGTCTGATGACAAGTTCATCTTTTTTGACTTTGAAACGGACCAGTCTTCGGGGGAGCATCTCGTAAATTTCGCGGTGGCTCAGTATGCCGACGGCACAGAAAAAGTGTTTCCGGGATACACGGCGTGCCAAGATTTCTGTGCCTGGCTGTTCTCTACACAGCACAAGGGCTTCACCGCCGTGGCACACAACATGAAAGGGTAAGTTAAAAATACCATAGTTTGCATGCTTTTCAAGTACGACTATTTTTTCAATATTATTCATAATATTTTTTTACTTACAGGTTTGATGGGCAGTTCGTGATGGCCTGGCTCCTGGAGCAAGGTACAGCGCCGGAGGTGATCCCTAACGGGTCTATGATCATGAGTGTAAGACACCCTAGTCTGAACATTCGGGTCATAGACTCGTTAAATTTTTTGCCGATGGCGTTGGCCAAACTACCGGGGTGCTTTGGTCTCACCGAATTAAAAAAGGGTTACTTCCCGCATCTCTTTAATTCGCAAGAAAATCAGAGTTATGTCGGACCGCTGCCTGAGCCCGGTACTATTACAGCCCGGATACCATGAGCACTTCAGCCCGACAAGCATTTCTGTCCTGGCATGAAGCAACACAAGGGGGATGTGTTTAACTTTCAAGATGAGATGCTGGCCTATTGCAGGTATATTTTTTTTCTTCTTGTTTTTTATTTTATTTATTTTTTTTTTATATTTCGTATTTTTAACATTTTTTTTTAATAGATCGGACGTGGACATTCTTCGCCGCTGTTGCCTGGAGTTTCGAGCCCAGTTTTTGGATGTGGCGAATGTGGATCCATTCCAGTAAGTTATTTTCTCAATTCTTTTATACAATAATGATCATGTTTACAGTTATGTTCTTATAATAATCATGCTCATGAAATTTTTTTTCTTTTCAGATACGTGACCATTGCGTCAGCCTGTATGGCAACGTATCGGAGTGGCCACATTCAGCCCAACACGATTGCCATGGTGCCCACACACGGCTACGTCAACTCAACGAATTACAGCCCTGATTCGATCCGGTGGTTGGACTTTGTTGCTGCTTCGGAAGGCATTGCCATTCAACATGCGTTGAACGGTTCCGGAGAGCACAGAATCGCCGGAATCTCGGTAGACGGTTTCTGCCAAGCAAACACAAACCGTCTATCAGTTTCAGGTAAGAAAAATAAACCATTCTTTTTCTATATGATTCTTTTTAATGATTTTACACTTTTAATGTTTAATTTACATGTGGAACACTATTAATATATTTGTATTATTTTAGGGCTGTTTCTTCCACGGGTGTAGTTCGTGTTATGACGGTGATGTCATTCATCCACTAAAAGGGGTTTCCATGGCAACGTTGCGAGAGAAAACGGAAGAGACCCACACGAAAGCTTCGCACCCAGGGTTTCCACGTCATAGAAATGTGGGAGCATGAGTTTCAGAGAGAAAAAAGAGGAAAATCCAGATCTCCAAGCTTTCCTGGAGCAACACCATCTGAGGGACCGACTCAATCCTCGAGAGTCATTTTTTGGAGGAAGGACCAATGCCCTCAAATTGTTCCACGAGGGAGACGCTAAATATGTGGATTTCACATCCCTCTATCCATGGGTTCGTACTTTTTTATTATTTTAAAACCTTTTCATGGATGATGTGTTTTTTCTGTATATTTTTATGATGTGTTTTTTCTGACTTTTTTGTTTTTATTCACAGGTGAACAAGTATTGCGTCTACCCTGTGGGACATCCAACAATCATCACGGAAAGCTTTAGAGATGTGGAAGATTATTTTGGAATTATCCAATGCCGAGTGATTCCTCCACGGAATCTGTATCTTCCGGTACTGCCCTATCGGTGCCGGAAGAAGCTGATGTTCCCCCTGTGTCGGACTTGCGCCCTTCTTCAACTGCAGACTCTGTGTAACCACACAGACGATGAGCGAGCTCTCGCCGGAACGTGGGTAACGGAAGGAAGTCAAACTGGCGAAAAGAAAGGTTACCGCGTCACACATGTAAGTACTCAAAGATTATTTTAAGGTTATTTTTTTTTTTAATCTCTTTCTTATGACTGACATTTATTTTGTAGATTTACGAAGTGTATCATTTCCCGGCATCCTCTACTTCCCTGTTCCGATCATACATCGATCTGTGTCTGGAGAGCAAGCAGGGAAGTAGCGGATGGCCTTCGGAGTGTGTGACGGAAGAAGGCAGATTGTAGTACATTCGCCAGTACAAAGAAAGAGAGGGCGTCAGGTTGGAAGCCGAAAAAATATCGAAGAACCCTGGGCGTCAACAAGTTGCAAAGTTGGCCCTGAACAGTTTCTGGGGCTGGATTTTGTTTTTCCTTAAATGGGGTATGAACGTGAACAAAGCTCAACTAACCTATGTCCACACGGTGCCAGACTTCAATAAGATGTTGGAGAATCCTACCAAAAAGTAAGTTTTCTCATCGATTTTATCAATCTATAAACTCAATGTATTTCAAACTGTTAACTCATGAATATTTTATTTCAAACTGTTAGCTCAAGACTATTCTATTTTCAGATGAAAGATATCTTTCTCCTTACGCCTGAGGTAGCTGCCATTTCCTGGGAATCTGCGAAGAGGAGTTTGTGCCGCAGGATGTCTCGACCAATATTTTCTTAGCGACTATCAAGACAGCTTGGGCTCGTCTCAAGCTGTATAGTGAAATGGAGAAGCTTGGGTAGAGATGTCCTGTATCCACGACACAGACTCCATCATCTATGCCTCGAATGGCCGCAATGATCCCCCTTGGGTAACTTTTCTTGGGTGAATTTACGGATGAACTGGTAGGTGATGTGATTACAGCATTCGTATCTGCTAAGAATTTTTCTTGAATAATTCTTTATTCAATATGTATCAAAAGTATTTAAATTTTTTTCTGTTATCTTTTTTCTCATGATTTTTTATTTTGTCAGGAGGACCCAAAACCTATGCCTACCAGATGGCAACTGGGAAAACCTGTTCGTGGGTTTTCATTAAACTTTAAGAATTCCCAGTTGCTGAATTTCGAAATCATCAGAAGTCTGGTCTGCAGTCTGAACCGAAAGGATGTCATATCTCTGCACAGTTTAATTATTATTTGATTTCTCAGGATTTTAAAATATCATAGTGTTACGGATTTTATATATAAATAGCTAATGTTAGTAGAATTATAAATTAAATTGATTTATTCCCCGTGGAGTGCAGCGCGTGACGAATATTAAAAAAAAAATCTATGCCGGAAATTTAAAAATACAAGAGCGCGTGCATTTAACATTTAATAAATAAATAGCAGCCTATTTATGGAACTATGGAACACCCATAGTTTCAGACATAGGCTGCCTATTTAAAACCACTTTTTAACTAAAACATACAACATTTTCGCAAAACATATCGTTTTTCCATATTTTCTGGCATTTTCCATTTTATCCCCCATTTTCTAGTTATTTTAAAAACCTGGAAAAACTTAAGTAAAATTTTCATTAATTTCATTAAAAAAAAGACATAAAATACATAAAAAAGAACAAAAAATAATTAAAAAATCAAGTATTTTTTACATTTTTTTCAAATCCTAAATTAAAAAATAATTCAAAGAGGCAAAAATATATTAAAATAACAATAAAATCGGGCTGCAAAAATATTAAAAAAATTATCATGTATAATTCCTATTAATACCCGCACATACACAGTCCAGTCACATTAATGTGACCATCTGTCAAAAGCCAGAATAACCACCTTTCGCAGAGCGGACTGCTGCGAGACGTGCAGGAAGAGAGTCACATAGGTCCCTGAAGGTGTTCTCTGGGATGTTGAGCCATGCCGACTCTAATGCCGTGGCCAGCTGCGCTAGATTACGCAGTTGAGGATCCATGGCGCGAACAACTCGATCGAGATGGTCCCACAGATGCTCGATTGGGTTTAAGTCAGGTGAGTTTGCTGGCCAGGGGAGGACGGTAAACTCATCCTGGTGCTCTTAGAACCACGCACGTACACTGGCAGCTGTATGGCACCTCGCACTGTCCTGCTGGAAGATGCCATCATCCTGAGGAAAAACAATGCGCATGTAGGGGTGAACATGGTCCGCAAGGACAGATGCGTACTTTATTGATCCATTGTGCCTCCCAATGATCAGTGAACCTAGAGAATGCCAGGAAAACATTCCCCAGACCATAATGCTCCCGCCTCCAGCTTGGACCGTTTCCGGCATGGTTCAGGGTGGTTTCCTTTCAGAGGTTTCACGCCTTATACGCCAACGTCCATCTGTCCGAGGAGCATAAAACGCGATTTCATCCGAAAACGCAACCTGTCGCCACTCAGTGGACGTCCAGCTGCTGTACTGGCGTGCAAATTTTAGCCTTCGCCGTCGATGAAACAGCAGTCAGCATAGGTGCACGAACCAGGCGTCTGCTTCGGAGGCCCAGACGCAGCAATGTTCGCTGAATAGTACTTTGGGAGACACTTTTGGTAGCCCCTTGGTTCATTTTGGTGGTCAGTTGCTCAACGGTAGCCGTCTATCTGCCCGCGAACGCATCTCCGCAACCGTCGTTCGCCTCTGTCATCTATGGCCCGTGGTGCACCACATTTGCCACGTCGCTGATTTTGGACAGTCCCCATTTTTGCCATGCACGGTACACTTTTACCACGGCGGCACGCTAACAGTTCACAAACTCAGCCGTTTCGGAAATGCTTCCACCCTTGGCCCGAAAGCCAATGATCATGCCCTTTTGGAAGTCGGATAAATCGCTTCGTTTCTGCATTACGCCAATGATTGAAATGTTTTCCGAAGCCCTCACACACCCTTTATATACGCTCAACTGCACTGTGCTGCCACCTGCCTTCTGTGATTGGTTATTTAACTCTGACATGGAAAGTACGTGGTGGTCACATTAATGTGACTGGACTGTGTATATGTGCCAATAATTTAATATGAATTCTCACTATGTCTTTCGATAAAATTTTCAGGTAATTGTTTATATAATTCAGGTTTACCCCAATCAACCTTATCTTCGTGTTTATTTAAAAAGTTTTCAGTCAGACTTTGATACTTTCATGATTTCATCCCAATCGAACTATATCTTTTTTAATTCTTCAACAGTATTTTCTGATAGTTTTTAATATCTAGAAACTAATGTCATATTTAATTTTTCAAAATTTTGTAAAATAAAATTATTACTTAAAGTTTGATATTATGATATGTTATCCCAATTTACTTTATCTTCGTTATCTAAAATAAATTTTTCTGATAATTTTTGTGACCTAGATACAATATCCCATTTAATTTGATTTTCATGCATAATTATAAACGGTTCAGATAGATTCTGATAAGCTGATATATTTTCTCAATCTACTTTATATTTGCTAATGAAAGGTTCTGATAATCTTTGATATCTAGATATAATCGACTGCATTTTCAAAATTTCTAATTAAATCTTCACTTAAAATTGTGTTTTAGAAACTTCACCCCAGTTAACATTCATTCATTAGGATGAAAATTCTTCGGATATTTTAAAGTAGTTACAAAGTCTTGTTCTCGTTGATAAACTTCTTCTGTAATTGATTTAGATAATTTTGATAACTGTTTACAAAACAATATAACATTTTTTGTATTCTCCTTTCATTTCCTCAAGGTATTCAGTAATTACTACACTTAAAGCTGCAAGAGGTTAAAAAAGCAAATGCCGATAAACATGAAACACTTAAAATATATATGTTACGGTGAAACACCGAAATCTGGAGAATGTCGACTTTCACCGCAGAATGTCAACATTCACATAGTCTCTTGGTGTTGTCCGAAATATTTTCCAAATACTCTTATATCTGACTTACCCGGTCAATATCGACATTCACCATGTAGTAATGGTGAATGTTAAACATATAACAGTATTATATTTTCTTCTCCGTAATTCAGTCGTGAATAAACGCACTTGAGACTTGAAATAAGAACATGAGAACCTAAAACACACAATACATTCAAAATGAGAAAGGAAAATAATAGAAGTTAAAAACTTACTTAATTATACAGTACGTTCTAAATGAGAAAATAAAATAACAGTAATAAAAAACTTACTAAATTACGTGATTCAAATCTTACTTATTGCAACAACTTAAACTATTATGGCACTTTATGACCTCTCTTTTCGACTTTCACCAGAGCATATCTGTGATTGTCGACATACACCGGTGAGAGTCCGAATATACAAGAATGTAGTGAAATATTCGGTATTTCACCGACGTATTTGGTGAATGTTGATATTCTCCGGTGAAAGTCGACATTCTCCAATTTCGATCTTTCACGGTAACAAATGTTTTGATTGATAATGACATGTTTATCTTTTGATATTTTTATATCCTTTTTTTAATTTTTTCTATCTTTTAAATGTTTTTCCGTAATTTATATTGGATCAAATTTCCTTCGGTATCTTATTTTCGGATTTTTTAAGTCGAACATAAAAAAGCTATCAGGAAATATGTATTTTTTAATTCTTTTCAGGTATAGCCGTCAACATCCCTTATTATTTGCTGACTTTTTTTTAGATTGTGTATTAAAAAATATAAAATAATTACAATTTGTCCCAAGAGTGGTAGGAGATAAATAAAAGTTGTGCGATATGTAAATAATAGACGTATTTTTCTTTCTTCCTCTAATAAATATATCTTCAATATCTTTTTAATTTTTTTCTGTTATGCAGTCATCATAAACAATAAGATTTTTACGCGATGGGTCTAAATCATCGACAGTTGTAAATTCATTTAAATCTGATGCAAATAACACTTCTTTTTTCTTATCATAAAAATTTAATATTTCTTTTTTATTTTTTAATTTCGTAGTATTAAGGATATCATCTCTTTCAATATCTTCAAAGAAAGTATATGCTTCTTGTAATTTAGAATATTTGGCTTCATTTTGTAGAGACATTAGGTATTTCGGAAGCAGGAGAGATAAAAAATATGCAACGCCTTCGCCGGGAAGCGAACTACGAACCTCTGGAATACCGGCCCAGCGTCCAGAACCACTACATCACAAGGGCATGCTAGGAAAGTGGGAGAAATACCTTATATACTCCCCTTTTTAAAGGGCGACTGGGGTTTTTAGGGGACCCAATCGCCAAATCCTAGGTGTGGAGAATCCTCATCCAACACATTTTTAGTTCGGGCGCCACTGTAGAAACATTAGGTATTTTCGAAGCAGGAGAGATGAAAAATATGCAATGCCTTCGCCGGGAATCGAACCACGGACCTCTGGAATATCGGCCCAGCGTACAGAACCACTACACCACGAAGGCACGCTAGGAAAGTGGGAGAAATACCTTATAATTTTTATATGTTTTGCGCATATGTATAATGCATCAAAATCTAATCTTAAATCTTTTGGCTTTTCAAAACCATTAATAAGATTTAATAATAAATTTGTTTTACTACATTCGGACGGCCCTTTTATAAATAATCTGAATAGATGTTGTGGTAATAATGGATGTTGATTAGCATCAGGTAATTCTTCTTGTTCCGTATAATCTTTAATTTTTATCATTTATTCATATAATTTCTATTCTTATAAAAATATTTTTAATTTCCAAATTAGCCCCCCCCTACCTCCTATATGTATATTTATTGTATCATCTTTTTTTTTCCCATTTCAAACAACTGAATGACTATAAGATTGTTGATGACCCTGTTTCATAATCGCTGTCCATCTATCAATTCTTACCTAATTGAAACATTAATTGTATTTTTTTATGATTACTATTGACCTCTACAAATAAAGTGACTATCATGATATAATTCATTCTAAGTTTTAAATTTTCATCAAAATAATCACTTTTAACTTTTTGAAATACTACATAGCCTTCCATATCTAATTCATTTTCAGATTCAACATATATAACTTTATCTACGTATTTTTATTAACTGCATCCATATCATTAACAGAATCAGCTACATTTGTTATAATTTTATAATTTGCATTATATTTCTCTTTTGTCATTAATGTGATTGCATTCTTTTCTAAATATCTTTTATTAACTACACGTTTGTCATTTATTGGATCTTTCACATTTCCTAATCGTTTATCTTTTGCATCAAAAACATGGCCATCTTTTGAAAGTAA